CTATGATTACACTCTCAAAATAATGACACACCGACTCTTCTCACAATTGCATGGCTTGCTTGTGTAATAATGAGTGTGATTATGTCTCACAATCACTTCCACTTCCACTTGGCTCGAATTACTTCTCTCTATACAATTTTTAAGCTATTCATTGCATACCATTAGATGAGTTGGGTGGCTCATAGTCTATTCAAGAGTACAAATAGTCATGGAAAAAAGCCTCAATTTTGATGTACCAGAAAATTAGGAGCGATATTTGAAAAAACAAATATATATATATTATATACTAGAGGACCCGTCCACGCTTCACTGTGGCTGATACATATATAATACTACTACTACTACCATCTATATGATTTATATTAGTTGGATTATAATTATTAGTTAAGGAGATATAGCATTTCTGTGAAGCAACTTGTGTTAGTTTACAAAAAAATTGAACATAAAGCATTTCGTGTGTTGATAAAGCATTGCTTTTTGGGGGAAAATATTGTTGAATTTGGGCTCAGGAAAATCCACCGGTACAAAGATAGTTGCTAAGTTGGAAACAGGCAAAATCAGCACCGAGGAAAATGGTGCTCTAAAGAGACCAAAGCTCTGTGCAAAGTGGGTGAATCGTAAGTTCATAATCCAACAAAAACAACGAATAACTGATACTGAGAAGTGTTTGAGTGCTCTTTAATCGGAATAAAGCCGAATTTTTTCGTCGGTGATAAAAACATAGCTCCATCATTTCCCACTCGAATCCAAACGACAGTTATTCTAGTGGACTCCACATGATGACCCAGTTCTAAGGCGTGGAAAGGCGAAAAATGAGGCTGGAAAGGACATGACATTAGCATTTTGTGATGTACGTGGTATAAAACATACTCAATGACTGATTACTCAGCCAGTAGATTATTCACTGCATATTTGGTTACACTTCTTTTCTACTATTCCTGTGTTTAAAATTGTACGCATACATATATTCAAATAATTCCTACAAACATGAATTTTGAAATTATAAATTTTTTAGCCAAATCGGTTCAGCCGTTCTTGAGTTATAAATGGTGTAACTAACAACAACTTTCTTGTTTATATGTATAGTATAAGATGTGTATAAGAGACAGACCTTATATCTGCTACATTAATTTTTTCGTTCG